CTGGCCAACATACTGAAACCCTGTCTCTACAGAAAATATAAAAAATTAGCTGGGCGTGGTAGCAGGCGTCTGTAATCCCAGCTACTAACTAGGGAGGCTGAAGCAGGAGTATCGCTAGAACCTGGGAGGCAGAGGTTGCAGTGAGCCGAGATTGCGCCAGTGCACTTCAGCCTGGGCAACAAGAGCAGAACTCTGTCTCAAAAAAAAAAAAAAAAGTTTTCCATACATAAGATCTTTTTTTCGAGATGGAATCTCACTCTGTTGCCCAGGCTGGAGTGCAGTAGCACAATCTCGGCTCACTGCAACTTCTTCCTCCCTGGCTCAAGCGATTCTCCTGTCTCACCTCCTGAGTAGCTGGGATTACAGGTGCCCGCCACCACGCCCAGCTAATTTTTCTATTTAGTAGAGACAAGGTTTCACCATATGTTGATCAGGCTGGTCTCAAAATCCTGACATCAGGTGATCCACATGCCTCAGCTCCTCAGTGCTGGTATTATCGGCATGAGCCACTGTGCCCGGCCCATACCTACTATCTTATTTCATGTGTCTCTGAGATAATGTTGCACAAGTCCCTATCATGTGACTTTATTTATTTATTTTGAGGTGGAATCTCGCTCTGTTGTCAAGGCTGGAGTGCACTGTTGTGATCTCAGCTCAATGCCACCTCCGCCTCCCGGGTTCAAGCAATTCTCTTGCCTCAGCCTCCTGAGTAGGTGGTATTACAGGTGCCCGGCACCGTGCCCACCTAATTTTTGTATTTTTAGTAGAGACGGAGTTTCACCATGTTGGCCAGGCTGGTCTGACCTCGTGATCCGCCTACCTTGGCCTCCCAGAGTGCTGGGATTACAGGTGTGAGCTGCCATGCCTGGCCTGTGACTTTTCTTATGTATTCCCCACCATTGCTATGAAATTCCAACCCCAAGCCTATGCTAGTAATCTTTCACTTGCTTTATGCTCTTAAAGATGGATAAATATGAAGGTCACTAAAGATTCTAGAATGATGTTCAATAATTGAAACTTTAAAGATTCTGTAGTAAATTGGAAGCAAAGATGGAGGAAGAAAGATATGAAAATGAAATTCAAGATTAGTGTTGAGTCATGAGTAATAAGTGCTCCAGAAGTTTAGGATTTGGTGGTCAGGATTAAGTTCAGGATTGAAAATCTCCACTGGTACAACTAGGAATTCATCCTTGTATAGATGGCTTACTTACCCTGCTGCTTTTAAGAAAATCCTTCCCTTTGGATATATGTGGTCCTCAGTCTTTCTGTCTTGAAATAAAGCCAACTAGATGGAGAGTGAAAGCTCAAGCTACAAGACTCTTCCTCTAAGCCTGAGGATACAGATGTTCTGAGAAAGTCACTTTAGTATTGACACCTAGATTGTTGGGGATGGATGAAGAAGAAATAAAGTGGAAGTCTGTCTGCTAACTACTAGGAATCCTAGCACAGTAATCTAGGTTTGAGGCAATAAAGACCTACACTTCAGCTCCTTCATCCAGTTTACTCTTTTCCATATAATTCCAGGACACATTGTTCTCCAGTAGTTTTTCTTATCCTGCTTAATGTTCATGGTCCTTAAGGGGCCCACGCTCCCATTCAGCAACACTTCAGATGTCCTGTTTTCTCTGCTCCTGATTCTTTGTTTTTTTGTTTTAACTTTCTCCTCCAAGCTCTTAAGGTCATGATTGTAAAAATGTCAGAGTACCTGGGCCTACAACTAAGCTCCTTCTTGTGTGTGCTACAGCAGTTTTTAGTGTTTTAGTTCCCCCCCCAGCCCCGCCCAAAACAATGGGCTAGAGGAAATTTGCATTTGAGAGTTCTTTCATAAGGAGAGATTGGCCTGAGGCCTAAGAATCAACCCTATGACAATATAAATGTGTTAGTATTTATAAAGTATTAAATTTTTTATTATCTCGTAGAAGACCTACGAAATACCCATGACCTAGAAGCAAGATACCAGGAAAGCCAAGCTGGAAATTCAAGGCAAGTTCAAGAATTAATGTTTAAGATAGAAGATTTGTAAGCAAGAGTCTTGAAGGGGTTACTAGAAATGGGAGGGCACTAGTTAATACTTAACTAAGAGAAAACTAATACTGCAAAGCAAATCGAGAGAAGTATCACCCAAATGGGAATGTTCTTTTTCATAGAGAACTCATGCAGGATCAGGAAATTGAAACTTTGAAGTAGTCTTTTGACTCTTCTGAATTAAATAATAAAGGGAGGCTTTATTACACAAAATAGAATGCAGGCAACTGAGAGATCCTGTGAATAGTATACAAATACAGGTTCATCTGATCAAATGTTTAAACTACAGTGTAGGTCAGAGAATGCTTACAGTGGATAAACCCTATGGATCTAATAAATATGGGAACATTTCTAGAAATCAGTCTTCAAATATACTTGGAAAATATGCCCAGTGGCAGGGGGGTAAAGCCTTAAAAGCTTTACACATTAATGAATGTGGAACTTTCTGTCTAGGAATGGAGAACTCAAAAAACACCAGAAAACTTGTGCCACAGAGAAAGCCTATGAATGTAAGGAATGTGGGAAGTTCTTCTGCCAGAAGTCTGCCCTCATAGTACATCAGCAGACTCATTCAAAGGGCAAATCATATGACTGTAATAAATGTGAGAAATCTTTCTCTAAAGATGAAGACCTTACAAGACATCAGAAAGTTCACACAAGAGAAAAAACCTATGAGTGTAAAGAATGTAAGAAAATATTTTACCACCTATCATCTCTCAGTAGACATCTGAGAACCCATGCGGGAGAGAAACCCTATGAATGTAATCAGTGTGAGAAATCCTTCTACCAGAAACCACATCTTATAGAACATCAGAAAACACACACAGGGGAGAAACCTTTTGAATGTACTGAATGTGGTAAGTTCTTCTATGTGAAGGCATATCTCATGGTACATCAGAAAACACACACAGGGGAGAAACCCTATGAGTGTAAGGAGTGTGGGAAAGCCTTTTCCCAGAAGTCACACCTCACAGTACATCAGAGAACACATACAGGGGAGAAACCCTATAAATGTAAGGAATGTGGGAAATTCTTCTCTAGGAATTCACACCTCAAAACACATCAGAGAACACACACAGGAGAGAAACCCTATGAATGTAAGGAATGTAGGAAATGCTTCTTCCAGAAGTCAGCCCTCACAGTACATCAGCGAACTCACACAGGGGAGAAACCCTTTGAATGTAATAAATGTGGGAAAACCTTTTACTATAAATCAGACCTCACAAAACATCAGAGAAAACACACAGGGGAGAAACCCTATGAATGCACAGAATGTGGCAAATCTTTCTCTGTGAATTCAGTCCTCAGATTACATCAAAGGACTCACACAGGAGAGAAGCCCTATGAATGCAAGGAATGTGGGAAGTCCTTTTCTCAGAAGTCACATTTTATTATACATCAGAGAAAACACACAGGGGAGAAGCCCTATGAGTGTCAGGAGTGTGGGGAAACCTTTATCCAGAGGTCACAACTCACTGCACATCAGAAGACACACACAAAGAAGGGGAAGGCTGAGAAGTAAGATGAGTTGGGAAATTCTCTGACCGAATTCATCTTTCAGAACAATCAGATATTTCACGCGAGAGGTACACCTTATGAATGGCATCAGCATAGGGCAATTTTTAGCTACAATTTTTCCTCTCTGTATATCAGCAGATATATAGAGAGAAATTCTGTACGTTTATTTAGGAGAAAATTTTATGTGGTAGGTTTTTCTAAATATTAGATAACATAGATAGCAGAAGCCATTCAAATTGTAAAATAGAAAGGAAACCTTTCAGAAGTCATACTTTTGTTTTGTAACATAGAAATCACACAGGAGAGAAATCCTGTAAGTAAAACAAATGTCAAGACATTTTCTGTCAGGGCAGCCAGCTGTAGACATCTAAAAGCTCACAAGTGAGAAGCTCCTTGAGTATCTAGAAACCTCTTTACACAATTGGAGCTCATATATTGGAGCTCAGATATTAGAGAATTCAAAGGGATAACTGCATAGATGGTAGCAGATATAAAAAGCCTTTATCAAGAATTGATGTTTCATTCAGTGTCAGATTACTGGTACTTGGATAGATATTTTAAATATTTGGAAGGTTTTCAACAAAAATTCAAATTTGTACTGAGGGAAACAGTTAGACTAGAAATTACGTTGCAGATCTGATGCCAAGATTTAAAAGGAAACCTGCAAATGTCTACATATATGAAGCCTTTAAAAAGCACAAATTATCAGTCAACATCATTAAACATAAATTAAATCCCTTTTAGTACATGTGAGGAGTTTGTGTGTATGCGAGTGTGCTATATAACATGTAACTTGCAGATGTTCAATGTGCATGTGGAACCCATCCATAATTGTACATAGGGAAATATGTACTCTTAGTTCAGTAACTATTATGTGTATGAAGATGTCGCACATTAAGTCTCAGTAGTGACTCTTGTTGTATTTGTATTCTAAGTGTAATAGTCCTTTTAAATTATAAGTCATCTTTTTCTCCTTGGTGTTTGTAAACGGCTATAGACAGTGGTACTTGTTTTTGTAAAATTTTCAACTGTCAGCCAAGTTTTGCATTAGGGACACATTTATATATATAGCAAAAGCCTGAGCTGTTTTTAAACAGCTAAAAACAGTAATATTTATTACAGTCTACACAATGAAAACAAATAGTGCAATGTAAGAAATATTATATATCTTGCTATTGATGTATAAGCAGGAAGCAGAGCTATCTGCATTTGTATTTTGTCTGAGAATCCTAAATGTCCTTCACTAACTTCTTCTTCCTCATAAAAGCAAAGTGGGATAGTTAAGGGTGTGGACTCTGGACTCCTGCTGCCTGGGCCCAGATTCCAGCATGGAGCATGCTACTTAATGTCTCTGTGCCTCAGTTCTCTTTCCAAAAAGAGTAGTGATAGTGACATCTTAGGATTGCTTTGAGGTCTAGAGTTAACATTTTCAAAGCACTTACAATAGTGTCTTAGACATGACAGCTGTATGTTACAGGTTATCCTCATCATTTGTATTTTGTGAATTACGCTGCAAGAAAAAAAAAAAGGTTGGCTACTCAACATTCATCCTCCACCTTCTTGCTCCCAGTGCCTTGATTTGGTTGTTTGTTGTTTGTTTCTTTTTCTACAAGTGATTTAGGGGCAAGAGCAGATCCTGATTACACTAAGTCAGGGTTTGATAAATGACAGTCCATCAGACAGATGTGGCCCACACCCATTTTTGTATCCTGCAAGCTAAGAATGGTTTTATATTTCTAAATGTTTTTTAAAAATCTAAGAATATTGTGACACATGAAAATTATATGATATTCAAATTTCAGTGTCCATAAAGTTTTGAAAACACAAATACAAACAAAAAACATCTGTTTATGTTTGGCCTGTGGCTGTCTTCGCACTACCCCAGCAGGGTTGAGTAGTTGTGGCAGACACCATATGCTCTTTAAGCCTAAGATCTAGCACTTTGCAAAGTAAGGTTTTCTATTACTTAGAGCTGAAAATGCAAGAATGTAGAGTTACGCTTTTATAAACATTATGTGTTTCAAAATGATGCATACAGCAATTTGTAGGTGGGTGGTTTTTTTGCAGTATATTTATTTTGTGCATTATATTTATATGTTAAAAGCCTGAGCTTAGAAGTATATTTTCAAAGAAATGTGTTTTTTACTTGCTTAATTGTCATAACATCAAAACGAAAAATTTCTTGATGGAATGTAGCAGTAAATACATGAAATAAACATTGTCTAAATTAAATTGAATTGTTCACTGATTCCTCCCTACAGTATTCCTTTATTTTCTCCCAAATCAATGGCCAGTTTTCCCTATATCATTTTATAATTTGCTTACTATCTTATAAGATACCATTGGTAAGTTATATTTGGCTAACGTAACCCAATAACAAAAAACTTACAATGCCCAATTCCATCAGCTACATTACTAGTGTCTGTACTGCATATAATTGTCATATACTGCTACAATCTAAACCCTGCCAGCATCTTACTTCCCCTTCCTAATAAAGAGACTTTCATTCATGTTCAGCTTCTTTGTGTGTGTGTGTGGCAACAGGGTCTTGCTCTGTCACCCAGGCTGGAGTGCAGTGACATCATCTTGGCTCACTACAACTTCTGCTTCCCAGGCTCAAGCAATTCTTCCACTCAGCCTCTCAAGTAGCTGGGACTACAGGCACGTAACACCACATCAGGCTAATTTTCCTTCTTTTTTTTTTTTTTTAAGAGATGGGGTCTCCCCATGTTGCCTAGGCTGGTCTCGAACTCCTGGGCTCAAGCAATCTGCCTGCCTCAGCCTCCCAAAGTGCTAGGATTACAAGCATGAGCCACCACACCCAGCTAATGCTCAGCTTCTTAATCATGTCTCGTTGTGATGTTCTGACCTGTATGATGTTTAACATTTATGAACACCTAATATGATAATTTAGTGATTACTTGTATCTCAAGAAGGTATACTTTGTACTTACATGTAATAACTTCTGAATACTTTATGGAAAAATATTTTTTACCAGTATTTCATTCTACTCAGCTCTCCCATGAGCATTGCCATCTTGATGGAGGTTTGAGGTAACATCTATCAATAGATAAGCCTTTAAGGTGGTTCTTTAATTTATTGCTTCCTGTATAGCCAGCAGAACTGTGAGCCAATTAAACCTCTTTTCTTTATAAACTACCCAGTCTCACATAGTTCTTTATAGCAATGTGATAATGGTCTAAGATACTACGCATGCATAGAAAGATACATGTCAGCTAAAAGAGGTTGGGAGAGTCCTTTTTCCCTTAGGGACACTGAATAAACTATGTGCTGTGCCCCATCACATAAGATGTGGAACTTTCCACTTGTGGTGTCATGTTGGCACTCGAAAACTTCTGGGTTTTTGAGCATTTCAAATATCAGATTTTCAAATTAGGGATGTTCAACCTGCATTACTAATAAGAATGCAGTGGAGATAAAATAAAAATTACCAATCCAAAAGAGAGAAAAAGAAGAGAAAAAAAGGAAAAAGACCAAATGAGGAAAGAGGAAACACTTTAGCGAAATAATAAATGTGAATCCAAACATTAAAAAATTATATTAAATATAAGCGGTTGAAGTCTCACAATTAAAATGAAGTAAGGATGGGCGTGGTGGCTAATGCTTCTAATCCTAGCACGAGGTCTAGGCAACAGATCACTTGAGGTCAGGAGTTCAAGACCAGCGGCCTGGCCAACAAATGAAACCGTCTATACTAAAAGTACAAAAATTAGCTGGAAATTGCTTCAACCCGGGAGGCAGAAGTTGCAATGAGCCAAGATTGTGCCACTGCTTTCCAGCCTGGGCAATACAGTGAAACTCCATCTCAAGAAAAAAAAAAAAGTTTTCTCATAAGATATAAAAGCAACACCCACCCAACCACATGCTGTCTTAAGAAATTCATGGTTGGGCACAGTGGCTCATGCCTGTAATTCCAGCACTTCAGGAGGCCAAGGCAGGCAGATCACAAGGTCAAGAGTTCAAGACCAGCCTGGCCAACATGGTGAAACCCTGTCTCTACTAAAATACAAAAAATTAGCTGGGCATGGTGGCACGCACCTGTAATCCCAGCAACTCAGGAGGCTGAGGCAGGATAATCACTTGAACCCAGGAGGTGGAAGTTGCAGTGAGCCAAGATCACACCATTGCACTCCAGCTTGGGCGACAGAGCAAGACTCCATCTCCAGAAAACAAAACAAAACAAAACAAAACAAACCAAGAAGTTCACTTTAAATATAAATAGATTAAAAGTATGGAAAAAGGTAAATAAAATTAAAAGACAACTGGAATAGCTTAAGTTAATATCAAAGTAGAATTGAGAACAAAGTATTACTAGGTATAAAGAGAGACATTACATAATTATTAATGTGGTTAATTCACGAAGTGAACATAAGGATACTAGTATATATACACTTAATAATGCTTCAAAATTAATAAGGCAAAAACCAAAAGAATCAAAAGGAGAAATTAAATCCAAAATTGCAACTGAAGACTTCACTGTTGTGTATCACTGACACAGAAAAGTTTTTGAGTGTTAGACTTTGACCTCCTTTTCCCATTAGCCCTAGGATTTTTTTTCTTTTCTTGAGACAGAGTCTCACTCTGTCACCAGGCTAGAGTGCAGTGGCATGATCTTGGCTCACTGCAGTCTCCACCTCCCGGGTTCAAGTGATTCTCCTGCCTCAGACTCCCAAGTAGCTGGGACTACAGGTATGTGCCACCACACCCAGTTAATTTTTGTATTTTTAGTAGAGAGAGGGTGTCATGTTGGCCAAGATGGTCTCAATCTCCTGACCTCATCATCTGCCCGCCTCAGCCTCCGAAAGTGCTGGGATTACAGGTGTGAGCCACCACGCCCAGATAGGCCTGTGATTTTTATTGTACTAACTATAAAAAGATCAGTGATTTTAAAAAATGTATACAGTGCATTTTAACAGAACTCACTTTATAAGAATACTATCATTCTTCCCACTTTTTAGCCTCCCCTTAATCAAACTGAATACAGTCTATAATGCCCAGGTTTTCAATAACACATTCTCATCTGTCACCTAATTCTACATTTGCTTTAGAATTAGTTCCTCAATTAAATTCAGAGCCTACTACCAATCTTTTTACCATGCGTTTTGTGTCACCTCTTGGTTATCTAATATTCAGCCTCTAATAAAAGGTCTTAGGGACCAAGGGCCCAGAATTCTTGATTATTCAAAAAAAGATTTCCTCTTTTTTGTTAAAGGATCACTCTTTAACCTGGTAAAAAGTTCTTAATTTGACCCACCCTAAGAATTTTGTAGCAATTGCTCTACTGACTTTTCGCAGTTTTTTTGTTTTTGAGACAGAGTTTCACTCTTGTTGCTCAAGTTGGAGTGCAATGGTGCGATCTTTGCTCACTGCAACCTCCACCTCCCGAGTTCAAGTGATTCTCCTGCCTCAGCCTCCTGATTAGCTAGGGATTACAGACATGCACCACCATGCCTCGCTAATTTTGTAGTTTATTTAATAGAGATGGAGTTTCTCCATATTGGTCAGACTGGTCTTGAACTCCCAACCTCAGGTGATCCTCCTCAGCCACCCAAAGTGCTGAGATTACAGCCATAAGCCACCGAGCCTCACCCCTTTTTGCAGTTTTGTATTGCAAATTTTGTTAATAGAAAAGCCTGACATCAGCTGGACTTTTTTCTTACATTAACCGGCTGTGAAAATGATTCTTTATCTTTGAAATCTAGTAACTTTACTAGGAATATATTTCAGGTGATTATAAAATATCCAGGGTTACATGACAAATAAGCATTTGGGTATATAAGCAGGTAGTTCAGGGCAAGTCTAGGTGGAAGATATTTATTTGGAAATTATCAGCTTATGGCAGTAGTTCACAGTTTTTAAGTTCAGTATTTAAAGCTGAGGGATTAGATAACCTCTCTTCTGGGGTAGGACTGGAGGGTGTCCCCTGGGTCATTACCTTTCCCAGGTCATGAAAGTAAAACTGAGCAAAGAAGAAGAAAAAGCGGTTTGGGGATGAGTGGAAACAAAGTATCCTGCAACCAAGTGAAGACTGTTTCAAGGAGAAAGTGAGCTTTTCTGAAGCAGGTTGTGTAAAGTTAGCGTTTTCTCTGTCTCTGTCTACAGAAGGTCATCCAGAAGCAATAAGGAAAAAGAGCAACACAAACTTTATCTTGTGACAATAGAGGATATCTGAAACCCCAAATCAATATAAGTGGAAATGCTGCCAGAATCACTGAAAAATTAAGGAGGGCCATATGTAACAGCAGATGAAAAGAAACAGCATTTCTGGTGCTGGAAGAAATTGGTAAAATACTTTAGAGAGACAAAGTACATATTTTGAGGTTCAAAGTCTAAATCTCTCTTGGAATGACAGTACTGTGCACAAGACAGCTGGAGCTCCTTTGAATGCAGTCTGGTTCTGTGAAGCTAATGTAGGGTTAAGTATGGAAACAGACACACAAGTCATATTTTTTAGTGACGCTCTGACAATGCAAGAAATGAGACTTTCCATTTCAGAAAAAAAGTCACAGACACCTGTATGTGGGGAAAAAAACATGCTATCTTAGCTTGTTTTTCTACAAACTCCTGACCTCAAGTGATCCATCTGCCTTGGCCTCCAAAAGTGCTGGAATTACAGGTGTAAGTCAGCTTGCCTGACCCAAATTTGCTTTCTTTACTATGATTCTTACTATTTCTTCCAATTCTTTCCTGAGCTTGACATCCCAGAATGCATTTTATTAAATTAATTAAAACATTATACTATTGCCTTAATATCGTTCTTTTTTTTTGAGACAGTCTCGCTGTGTCGCCAGGTGCCAAGCTGGAGTGCAATGGCACGATCTCAGCTCACTGTAACCTCCGCCTCCCAGGTTCAAGCAACTCTCCTGCCTCAGCCTCCCGAGTAGCTGGGACTACAGGCACATGCCACCATGCCCAGCTAATTTTTCTTGTATTTTTAGTAGAGATGGGGTTTCACCCTGTTGGCCAGGAATGGTCTCGATCTCTTGACCTCGTGATCTGCCTGCCTTGGCCTCCCAAAGTGCTGGGATTACGGGCGTGAGCCACCGTGCCCAGCTAACATCCTTCTTGAACTCTTACATCACACAGGCAATCAATTCAATTAGTCCTTTTTGAAATTCATGGTTTAATATTTGGTTCAATTATTTATCTACTTTATGTCCATGTTGATCAGGTGACATTTCATCACCTACTACTTTTTTTTCCTAATCTTTTCACTCCCTTATTCTTACAATAGTTTTATGGGGCATTTTATGTAGTTCCCTTGGAACTCGGGTTCAAAGGACATGAGCTTCAAAGGACACTGCATCACGTTTACTTGGTAAAGGGAACAGAGCCATGTCTTAACCTAACAAGAGAGTTCCTTATGAACAAGTGTTTTGCATATATACCAAACTCAGTTTATGCATCAACCCGGACTGTCACTCCTTTCTTGCCAGAGTAGCCTTAGTAATGGCTTGTTCTGTTAGTAGTCATGAAGCCAGGTCTCTGGGGTTGGCACGGCTGCAGTTGCAGACTGAGGAGCACCATGTGTTGTGCTGACTTAACAGAGACACCGAAGTACCCAAGTGGCTGGACCGGCTCCATGGAGGCTCTGCCTTCTCCACTATCTGCTTAGAGAGAGGCTGGGTGATGCAATCCAGCAATGTAAGGGAGTTAAAACTCTACAGAAGACTCTCTAATGAGAGAGAGAAATAAGAAGACAGCAAATAAATCATATTCCCTTCCACCTTTCTGAAAGGCTGTTCTGAGACATAGTGGTACATATAAAGCCTCTCTGAAGGTGTCCTGCTAGACTGAAAAATCAGATGTGCTTACTGCAGAGCTACTGCTAACTAGGTAATCACCCTCTTGTACTTTCTCTTTGTCCTAACAAGCCGTACTCTGTTACCTCACTTCTGCAGTAGGACTGCCCATCCTAACCAATGGGTTATTGAGTAAATTTTTACTTCAAATTTGTTTGTAGAAAAACAGGCTAAGATATTATGTTTTTTTCCCCACATACATAGCATGTTTTTTCCCTGAAAAGGGGGCCTGGCAGACAGGGAAAGAGATGGCAGGCCTGGTGACCTTGAAGCATGTGTATGAGATTGCCTGCATCAAAGCTCAGGATGAGGCATTTGCCCCGCAGGACGCACCCCTGTCCTCTGTTGTCCAGTCCATCATCAGGTCTGCCCATTCCCTGGGCATTCGCATGGTAAAGGACCTCAGTTCAGAAGAGCTTGCAGCTTTCCAGAAGGAACAAGCCATCTTCCTGGCTATTCAGAAGGAGGCAGATTTGACCACCCAGGAAGAAGATGCCAAGAAGTGATCCTTGCCTCCCAACTTCCAGATTTCAAAGGAAACAGCTGGGAAGGGGGCCAGATGCAAAGACTGTGCCCAAGGGGAGGAAGGAAGGTTACACCAATATGATGATTGTTCTCATGGCTTTGAATGATGTCTTTGTTCATCTAGCTGTATCAAGGCATCAGACCTGAATAAACATTCTTTCTCACCGCCCCCACCCCCTGCCAAATATAACCACAAATTTAAAATGGAGCTTATTTTCTTTCCCCTTGAGTATGGGCTGGACTTATGGACCCACTTCTATGTATAGACTGGACAGGAAAAAATAGGGAGAAACCTATCAGACACTACCTTAACCAAGTGTTAAAAGACAAATTTTAGAAAATTAAGTTTGGCATACTTCATTTCAGCAAAGAAAGATTCCTGAACCAGACAACACTCAGAACCTGAAGTGCTTCAGAGAACTCCATAAAGTGGGCAGGGAATATTTATAGATAAAAAACAGAAGTGCTCTACAGAAATAGCTTGACTGGTTATAGCTCAACTTTGGCCTTATTTGGAAATGGTCTGATTAGTTGCCAGCCTGTAACTGGCTAAGGCTCAGCTTCTGTAACTGGCTGACTCAGCTATTTGTTATGAAAGTATACTCCTAAGTTAGGCTTTGTTTACATACCAAGGTAGGTTGTAGGCACTAAAGGTAGGCAGGCAGCCTCAGGACAAATTGAAGTTAATACATGTGATCATGGTCAACTAACCAGTAAAAAAATCATGTTACCATGCCACCTGGTATCACACTATGGGAAAGCCACAATTTGTTTGTGGTGTGCTTCCTAAAAACGCACAATCTCAGTATCATCAGCAGAATGTTATTGCCTTACTTGGTTCTTGTTGCCTGCTGGCCAGAAGTTAAACTACAGGCTGAGGGTGGTGGCTCATACCTGTGGACTGAAGTCAAGAGGGCATGTTTTCATTTCCATATCAAGTTCACGAAAGACAAGCTAAGACCAAGAAACGATTACAAACTGGCCAAGACTAAGACATAAGTAAATATACTTGATATGCTGGATTGGATGCTGGAACCGAAAAAGGGCATTAGTGGAACAACTGCTGAAATCTGAATAAACTCTGCAGTTCAGTTAACAGTACTTGTACCTATGTTATTTTCTTAGTTTTGGTAAATATACCATGGTTATGTAAAATACTAACCTAGTAGAATCTGGGTGAAAGGCATATGGCAACTATCTTTGCAACTCTTCTGTAAATCTGAAATTATGAGCAAATGAAAAGTTTAAAAAATGGACAATGACCAAAGAGTTCATTTTTTAACGAAAAGTTTTAACACACCCATAGTGTGCTGAAAATGCCAGATGTGCACATAAAAGAATGTATGTGTAGTTCTGGGTAAAGTATGGTTGGTTTGGGAGATGAGAGCGTGTTTTCTTCATTAAATTTGTTACTCAAACGCTTTTTTTTTTTTTTGAGATGGAGAGTCTTGCACTGTGGCCTGGCTGGAGTGCAGTGGCGCCGTCTCAGCTCATGAAATCTCTGCCCTCCTGGTTCAAGTGATTCTCCTCAGCCTCCAGAGTAGCTGGGATTACAGGAATGGGCCACCACGCCCAGCTAATTTTTGGATTTTTAGTAGAGACAGGGTTTCACCATGTTGGCAGGGCTGGACTTGATCTCTTAACTTTGTAATCTGTCCACCTCGGCCTCCCAAAGTCCTCGGATTACAGGCAAGAGCCACCATGCACGGTTTTTTAAAACCATATAAACAATTTTACGTTTGGCTCTTTAATTATTAGCTTGTGTTTTTCCTTATTCCAGAGAATAACCATACTGGTCCGAGATGTTAGTTTTCTCTTCTAGACTTTCAGTTAAACGTTAACATGCACGTTCATGAACAAATGCAAGCACATGTTTCCTTCTCTTGGCGTGTGTCTAAAAGGCACATTGGTTTGATCACAACCACTGCGGAAGCTGGAATCCTGGTTCCAGGCAGGAGTGGGTAACTGAGACAGTAATCTTCCAACCCACTAAACAAGGCTGTTTTGTAGGAGAGCCTTGTTTATGACAAGCGGCATGATATATATAATGGGGAATCTTGAGAAATATACTTAACAATTTATGTGTCAGACACCGGTTTAAGTGCTTTTACAACGTAAAGCGCCTTTAATTCTCATAAAACCCCTGCTAACTAGCTAGGCACGACAATTAGCCTCATTTTACAACTGAGGGGTGCGGCCAAAACAGGTAGGCATCGTCCCGATGCCTCGCTTAAGAGAGGTAGCACTTTTCGAAGCCCCGCACCCAGCAGCCCAACTCCTGCGCCCTGCCGCCGCGCCACTCCCTCTGCGCATGTGCATCCCCGCCTCCACGCTCCCCCGTCCCCCAACAACCACCCCGCGTTCTTCCCCGGCCTCCAGTCCCTCGTGGGAAACAAATCCCTCGCCTCTGGGTCCACGCGGCGAGGAAGCGTCCGGTGAGCCCCGGAGGACTGGGCGAGGGTTAGGGTGTCCCCGTGCTGCCGGAAGGCGGGGCGGGCGGTGGCGAGAATTCGGCCGTAGGTAGGGAGCCCAAAGCCTGCAGTGTCTGCAGAGTACAAGGACGGCGCATCGAGGGCGTCTCCGTCCAAAGGGTCCAGATCCGGCGTGAGAACGCGAGTGCCCTGGCTCGCGGGGTCCATACGTGTCCAGTCCCTGCGCCTGGCGCGTAAGCACAGCCGTGTTGCCGCGGGTGGGGAGGGAACAGGCTGCGGGTGAGGAGACAGCGCGCGCGTGCGTAGCGTGTGTGACGTTTGCCGTGGGCGTGCGCATGACGTATGGCGTGTGCGTGTGCGCTTTTTGTGCGCTGGGGGGGCGGGGCTGCGGGGGAGAGTGGCTGGGCCAGGTCCTCGGCGAATGAATTAGTCAGACACAATTACCTATGGGAGACTCGTTTTTCCTCTCTGTAAGTTACGGATATTAGGAATACTTGCCGCCTCAGGTTGTTCTGAGCACTTGCATTGTTTAGGTGCTGTATTTGCTGGGCGTGCGTTTCCTGGGGGAGTCCGGGGGAGACGGCGCCTGCACCGGCCCCAGGGCCTCGCTGCCCGTGGAGTGCAAGAGCGAAGGGGCTGGCCTAGCTGCCCACTAGGGCCCCTTTTGGCTGTGATCGTCCCCGTATCCCAAGTTATTATTGATACGTTGCGCGTTCGTTTATGTATTATGTATAATCATGGCGCAGTATCCCGAAGCCGTCGGAGTCTGTGTGCCGGTGGAAGGTCTGGGACAAGTTTAAGAAGAGAGGTGAGCTGGAGCTGAGGGGTGGGTGCGTGCACGGCTGATGGGAGCGTCACCTCTGGAGAGTCTGAGGGCAGGGATGGGTGAAAGGCTCACGGCCACAGCAAAGGAAATGCTGTCATCAGCCCTCTGCGAACACCCGGGATGTCCTGATGAGCTGCTGAGCTTCCTCCTCTCGCAGGATGATAGTGCAGGCAGGTCCTACCTGGGTTATCTGTTTTGACCTTATTTGAAAGATGGAAAAACAAAATTGAATTTGAGGAGGTGACTAGTACAGATCTTTGTCATCTGTTAGAGGCACAACCAAGGTTAGAAGTCAAGTCTGCAGTTTCCCAGGCCACTGCTGCCCATTTTGTTGCCTCTATATCACAGTTTCTCATTAAAAGATCCTTTTGAGGAATTGTTAGCAAATTAGAACAAACATTTTTTAAAAGTTTATCTTGCCTTAAACACTCCGTCCCTTTTTTAGAGGTTTTTTTTTTTTTTTTTTTTTTTTTTTTCATTTCTGACCTCAGGGGATTAATGGTGTTAACAGGTAAATAGATAAACAATATGGCCTGAGGTTTTTTTCCCCACGAGGAATTTTGACAAATTGATAGTGTTTCTTCCTTTAGATTACTGTTACTTGTTAAACTCATCTTTTCATGTTTTTAATTTTTCTGTGTCACAGAACCTAAATTGGTAATAAATCAATAAGAAATGTTTACATTCACTCAATGAAAAGTGTCATGTCTGAGCTCAGCATATATCGGAACCACACATGGACATGTAAGTATCTTGTGTGTGGAGCTGTATAGGCAGGTGAATCTTCGAACTGCAAGGCCGGCCAAGGCTCTCCTGACATTTCTTCCTTTCTTTTCCTTCAGCTCTCCCTCCTCCACTAAGAGCAGAAAATGAACAAATTCCAGGTGAGATTTTTGTTTCTTTATTCCCAGTTTGTTTAAAAATGGATTTTCTGAAGTTTATAAGGATTTATGTTTTGAAAATGGAGTAGGCAAAAATTGACATTAAGGGAAATGAAATCAGAGTAGCAAATCCAAAGTAGTGCAGCTGGCAAATTAGATGCAGGATTTTTTTTGGAGACGGAGTCTCGCTCTGTTGCCAGGCTGGAGTGCAGTGGTGCCATCTCTGCTCACTGCAACCTCTGCCTCCCAGGTTCAAGTGATTCCTCTTGCCTCAGCCTCCTGAGTAGCTGGGACTACAGGTACATGCCACCACGCCTAATTGATTTTTGTATTTTTAGTAGAGACGGGGTTTCACCATTTTGGCCAGGCTGGTCTAGATCTCCTGACCTAGTGATCAGCCTGTCTTGGCCCCCCAAAGTGCTGGGATTACACGGTGAAGCATTGCACCTGGCCAGATGCAGAATTTTTAATTTTACAGAATTATCCAAGTTATTGTAATGTTATCTCTGATTATTCTCATGACAATTCTGAAATAAATGCAATAAATTGTCTATAAGTATTTCTTGGTAGAAACAGTTCCAAAGCAGAACTCAGTGCATATGCTTTTCAGGAGATGGAACGCTGAGGTTTGAGTAGCCACCTTTCTGATGGTCCTGCTTGATTCAAGAACAAAACCCCGACAATGTGGAGGAATGGAGGGGCTACATGTCCTCAAAATAGTTTTCTCTAAGTGTTTGTGTCAGCTTGTTCTTATTTCTAGGTTGAATCTCTGACAGTTCTGACTTGTTTTCTGGGTTTCTCATCTGTGTTTCAATCTGATGAATGCAACCTTGCCCCCTCACCTAAACTCACCTGAATCACTTCTGGCAAAGGCCACCAAATCATAGTCAAGGCCAGTGGATGTTTTTGCCTTTGTGTTACTTGCCTGGGCTGCTGCATATATTGTTAACCATGGCATTTGTTTGGAGAGTCTCCTCTGTTGGTGTCTATAATGCCATCCTCTGAGCTGTCCTTTCCTAACTTTGATTTCCTCCCTTGTCCTCATGAAGGCATCTTTTCTTTTTGCTCCAGGCATTCCTTATCCTTGGGTTTCCATCCTTAGCCTATGGCTCTTCTTGGTCTGTTTTTACTTACTGGTTTCATGTGTTTTTTTCCCCTTAATAAAGTACTTTTGAATTAATAATATATTTACATGTTTTAAAAAAGTAAGTGACACAAAAGATGTACATAGTCACACTCCCTTTGTCTGTTCATGCAGTTTCTCTAGGTAGGGTGACATTTATTTATCATCTAAACTGAGACATTTTCACTGAGAGTGAAAGAGGGTCTATAAATAATTATGCCAAGACAACTGGCCTATATTGGGACAGTCCCAGACATACTGGAATGTGTGGTCATTCTACCATAGATTTTTTTTTTTTCTGGTTTCTCATATACTTTGCCAGTGTTTCTTTATCCAGTTTAAAGAAAATATATATGTATATTGTTATTTCCTTTCTCCCTTTACTTTAAAAGGAATCTGTTATCTCTAGGGCTTTTCAAACTTAGATGCAATTGTGCATCCCTGGCATCTTGTTAACATGCAGATTCTAATTTAGTTGACACGGATGGAGTCCTTATTCTGACGTTCTGATAAACTTGCAGCTTAAGCTGATTCTGATGTTCGACATATACACTATTTTCTGTTATTCCTTTTTCACTTAACAGCATGTTCCAGATATTTCTATGACAGAACATGAATGGCATTTTCTCTCTATGTCACAGTTGCATAGTAATTCAAGTGCGGGTGTCTGTGTTTATTAAAGTACTTCCAACCATTTGCTGTGACAAACCATGTTGTAATGAATAACCTTGTATATTTATAATTTTGTGTGTATGTGTTTGTATGTTAGATGAATTCCCAGAACTTGATCAGCTTAGTGAGAATGCCTGTCCTAGAGATAGTATTATTCTGTTTGTCCATTGGCAATGCATGGGAATGCTTATTTCTTCACAGCTTCTCCCATAGAATATGTGGTTCAACTTTTGGATTTTGGGCAACAGATAGGTAGAAAGTGGTATTTCATATAGTTTGCATATGCGATTTTCTTCACTGAATGAGGTTGAATACCTTTTCATGTGTCTAAGGGTATCTTGTATTTATTTTTCTGTAAATTTAACTTTTTTTTTTTTTTTTTTTTTTTTTATGACAGAGTCTTGCTCTGTCACCAGGCACCAGGCTGGAGTACAGTGGTGCAATCTTGGCTCACTGCAACTTCCGCTACCTGGGTTCAAGCAATTCTCCTGCCTCAGCCTCCTGAGTAGCTGGGACCACAGGTGTGTGCCACCATGCCCAGCTAATTTTTGTATTTTTTTTTTTTTTTTGAGATGGAGTTTCGCTCTTGTTACCCAGGCTGGAGTGCAATGGCGCGATCTCGGCTCACCGCAACCTCCGCCTCCTGGGTTCAGGCAATTCTCCCGCCTCAGCCTCCTGAGTAGCTGGGATTACAGGCATGCGCCACCACGCCCAGCTAATTTTTTGTATTTTTAGTAGAGACAGAGTTTCACCATGTTGACCAGATGGTCTCGATCTCATGACCTCGTGATCCACCCGTCTCGGCCTCCCAAAGTGTTGGGATTACAGGCGTGAGCCACCGCCTCTGGCCATGAACTTAACTGTTACATCTTTTGCCTATTTTTCTCTTGGGTTTTCTGGTCTTTATCCTCCGCAGTGTCTTTTACCCCTTTGTATTATGTGAGTTGCAAGCCATTATTTTTTGGTATATCATTTGTCTTTTGATAATTGTTCATGGTATTTTCCCTATGCAGAAATATTGGGTTATTTTTGTTGTCTAGTTTATTAATCTTTATGGTTTTGGACTGACTTATAGCGTTTGGAGACATAGTTAGAAAGTCCTTCCTGCTTCATGGGTTTCTATATGAAATATATATGTTACATCTATAAATATATATAATACATAAATATTACATATATTTTTTGAGATAGGGTTCTTGAGTAGCTGGGATTATAGGCATGCTCCACCATGCCCGGCTAATTTTTCTATTTTTAGTAGAAACAGGGTTTCACCACGTTGGTCAGGCTGGTCTCGAACTCCTGACCTTGTGATCCTCAGGCCTCAGCCTCCTAAAGTACTGGGATTACAGCATAAGCCATCATGCCTAGCCTCCTGTTGCCCTTTTTATAGTCACACCTCCCTCCATCCTGTCCCTATCATTCTCCAACCCCAACCAACCCCTACAGCTTCCTCCCTAAACACCAGCAACCTACTAATCTGTTTCTGTCCTTTCAATAATGCTACAGAAAAGCATCATACAACATTAACCTTTTAGAATTAGCTTTTTTCACTCAATACAATTCCCTGGTGATTCATCCAGGTGTTTGTGTGTCAATAGTTCATTCCTATTTGTTATTAATTAGTAGTCCATGGTATGGATATACCACAGTGTTTTGTTTTGTTTTTTTTTTTTTCTTTTTTTTGAGACAGAGTTTCTCTCTTGTTGCCCAGGCTGGAGTGCAGTGGCATGATCTCTGCTCATTGCAACCTCCACCTCCTGGGTTCAAGTGATTCTGCTGCCTCAGCCTCCTGAGTAGCTGAGATTACAGGCATGTGCCACTACACCTGGCTAATTTTGTATTTTTAGTAGAGATGTGGTTTCTCCATGTTAGTCAGGCTGGTCTTGAACTCCCAACCTCAGGTGATCTGCCTGCCTCAGCCTCCTAAAGTGCTGGGATAGCAGGAGTGAGCCACCATGCCTGACCAGATATACCACAGTTTAACCATTCACCTGTTGAAGGACATCTGGGTTCATTTCCAATTTGGGGCTATGAAAAATAAAACTACTGTGAACATGCCAATTTATATTTCCAATAGCCACTGAATGCACGATCCAGTTTATTCTTGCCATCACTTGGTGTTAGCACTTAGCACTGTTTTTTTTTTTTTTTTTTTTTGTCATTCTGTTGGGTATATAGTGATATTTCTTTTTTTTTTTTTGAGACGGAGTTTCGCTCTCGTTACCCAGGCTGGAGTGCAATGGCGCGATCTCGGCTCACCGCAACCTCCGCCTCCTGGGCTCAGGCAATTCTCCTGCCTCAGCCTCCTAAGTAGCTGGGATTACAGGCACGCACCACCATGCCCAGCTAATTTTTTGTATTTTTAGTAGAGACGGGGTTTCACCATGTTGACCAGGATGGTCTCGATCTCTCGACCTCGTGATCCACCCGCCTCGGCCTCCCAAAGTGCTGGGATTACAGGCGTGAGCCACCGCGCCCGGCCTGATATTTCTTTTTTTTGTTTTTTGAGATAGAGTCTTGCTCTGTTGCCAGGCTGGAATGCAGTGGTGCTGTCTTGGCACACTGCAACCTCCGAGTCCTGGGTTCTAGCGATTCGCCTGTCTCAGCCTCCTGAGTAGCTGAGACTGCAGGTGTGCACTATTATGCCCAGCTAATTTTTGTATTTTTAATAGAGATGGTGTTTCACCATGTTGGCCAGTATGGTTTTGATCTCTTGAGCTAATGATATGCCCGCCTTGGCCTCTCAGAGTGCTGGGATTACAGGTGTGAGCCACTGCACCTGGCCTATAGTGATTCTTTGTGTTGTTAATTTGCATGACAGTCTTTTCATGGGTGCATTTTCTGCCTCTATATTATCTTCGTTGAAATAGTTCTTTGTGCCTTTGAACTGTAGGGGAAGAATAGTAATTTTTGTTTGAACCTCCATAGGTTCTTAGTTAGAATGAACCCCTGTAACAAGAGATAGATTAAGAAGAGAAAAACAAATTTATTAAGAAGTCTGTTTCATCTGTACATGGGGGACACCCAGAGAATGAGTAGTTCACGAAGAGGTGGCTTTGAATTTCATCTTATATAGCATCTTCATCAAAGAAAGGAAAAAAATTTTAGAGAGGTGTTAAGACAAAGGAAAGGGAATTGGAATCTGTAGAGGTGGCAACTTGGGGGAAAGCAAATAAATGGCAGATACAGGCTAGTTTGTGAAGCTGGT